GTGGTGGTGAACGCGTTACTCCCCGGAAAGGATAATAGCGCGTTCGTTCCCCACCATAGACACCTGCGGTCCAGAGTTTTGCAAATATCTCAGCAACGTTGTGGTTGTATTAACGGATAGTTATATCAACAACAACCGCCCTGTATAAAAGAGCGCCGCCGTATCAGATTGCCTCTCTCGAGCGGTGCTCCACTGAAGAAAATCCGTCTCGGTACGACGACGAGGATACCACATCAAAAACACGAACAACTGTGAACCATCGACTCGGATCATGGGCTCTGATGAAGATGAAGACGTCGAAAAGTTAGCGGAATAAATCTCTTTGTCAACCTCTTGTTAACCTGACAAAATATGAAGGTATTTGATTAACACTACTGAAGTTAAATGATGGTCGGTTTGAAAATTATTACAAAAACAGTCTCGCTTCAAAATTCAAGTTCTTAGTTCGCTTGTATCACCCAAAACCGCTTCATGGTACCTTCAATTAACCTTAAAAAACTAAGAAGAAGCCAACAGTAAAATTATAGAAGCGGATTCTCTTCCTAATAAACAAAGTCGACTTATCTGGAGCCATGCAAATTCGAGATAATAGGTGGAATGGAGATACCGTGAATATAGGAAATGACAAAACAGGACATAACGCTTCGCAACACAGTTCTATTAATAACACACAGTTCTATTAATAAAGCACCCACACTAAGAATTCCATGCCAGATTTCCTACGAATCACTTTCAATACACATAGGAGTTTGAAAACTACTGTATATCTATTACTAGAATAAGAACACCTAGTCATACTTAAGTTGGAATTGTCAACCAATAAACTTTTCCATTCATGGACAAATAGTTTTTACCAGGGAACGACAAAATCCTTCCCATCATCCACTGAATACTCTTAATTACTTGTTTAATAATCTAATCTAGCCACAAAGCAGGAAACCTCCCTTGAGTTAACAACAGACGGGTGTAAGTAGTGTGGACTCTAGCATGAATGTCTCGATAACTACTGAGAAAAACAAAGTAAAGTAGTATTCAACAGATCGAAACAGAAAGTATCTGATAGGCGGAAATGCTGCCATAACACGTCATGAAAAATGCTTCCAACTACATAGATACATCCCCGAATCAATCTGCTTGATCATGATCTTCATACTCTTCTTGACGACGCTGACCGCATCAAATATGGGAAGTGATTGCCCATCAAGAAGCTCAGAACAAGGACACCGCCCAGCAAATTAATGATGGAACCCTTATCACTTTCACTGATTCCTTCCTTGCCTTCCCGACTTCCACGAAGTCCCGTCTTGCCGTTTCGTAATCAGTAAATAACCGAAAATGGCCACTTATTTCGATGGACATGTTGTAGAAATGAAGACTGTATTACCGTTTGAACCGATATACTTCAACCCATAGTGAAGTCCCTTAATTCAAGCGAAATTGAGTCTACAAATCTTTACGAATAGTATAGAGACTCCCTACTTTCTCACAACGAGTAAACTCACCAGGCCTCTCATCGCTCCCAGGCTGGGAAATTGGTAGCAAACTTGTTTGGCAAAAGCTCACTCTTCGTAATCCAAATGGGAACACCCTAGCACGGCTATCTCAAACTTGAGTTAGAATTGACTCGACCAGCATTCAGCTACGTTCATTGCGAAAAGGAAATCAAGCATCAGCGAACCCACACGCAAAAGTTGGAAGGCCTTCGTAGATTATGGACAGGAGGAAATGAATCGAATGCAAGAAATGCTGATACCCGCACACTAGATGCAAAATACGAGTCGTGTAAAAAAAGTCACAATGAGATTCCAATTTTACACATTCAGAAAAGTTCTGGCGCTTTGTTTCGCCAAGGTCCGTATGTGTGGTTGGACCCTAAAGAGTAATCAAGAGAAAACTGAAGAGAATAAAACATGAACGAATGATTTACTCATTGTCTAAAACAGAGCACTGGACATTTTAAGATTAAAAAAAAACTAAACTTGCCTCATTTCTATCGAGACCTGGTGAGTAACTAGTACAAGGCGCCATAGCAATCAAAGCATCATTCTAAAAGGGAAGACTTATACAATCAAAAAATAAGACCGAAACGAGCTTGCAGCTTTTCTACTCCATTAATATCAAAACATTAAAGATGTCTTGACTAATACTAGTAGTATACGTGAAGCACGTAGTACAATATTCATCCCTAGTGGGATGGACTATTTTGATTACCTAGAACCAGTGAATCTGTCAAAACGGTTTTCAAAGAGCCATGCGTTCTGACAAACAGCACATAGGTATTCAAAAGGTACACATGCCTTGATCAACAAGTGACCACAATTTGCTTCATTAGGTTTTCTCGAACGTAGAGCTCTTCAATGGCTAAAAGTATACTAGGAGAAGAGCCACTGACTTCTTTTAACGCAGGAATAACCTGAGACTCAGTATCAGCACTGCACGCATAAGACCGGAGAGCCGTCTGTTCTCCATCACTAATTCCTTGAGGAATCACATCTTCAATCTCCTTCCCTATTTGAGATTTCGTGTCAGTATTGGCCACATCCTCTACAGAGTCCTAAAACTGCCGATTACAACATGGAAACAAACAAAAGAAATGCATACCTGCAAAATTATGAAGAGATAATGATCGCCAAAATCCTTCCCATCACTGTCTAAGAAAGCGCATTTCATGTCCAGGAAAACACATGATTTACTACCCCAAAAGCCAAAATTCAATCGCAGCAAAGGGCAACAAATGTAGCCACAAGGCCATAAATCTTAAAGTTATGTATTTTAAACTGGTTAACCTACGACATTCCACTGCGCCCCCATAGGTGAGATAGAAGGGAAACACAAACTAAACACATTTCTATGTTTGATATGAAAGGTAAACAAAATCATGTGATAGCATCCTATATCTGTCTCAAAGTATTGATATATACACTTCGCATACATGTATGTATCCATGCACGTAACGCACTCATGGGATCAAGTGACAAGAACTATATGAGAGCGCGCTTCGAAATTGACCTCAACAAATAGGCTCAATACATAGCACGGGTAGGCATGACAAGTCACCTGTGGGCATTCCCAGTAAACATGCCAGAACTTAGCCAATCACTACCTACGCTCCTTCTAGTTATAGAAAATAAACAGACTTATCCGATACATATGGTATCGCTTCAATACTGGAGCGAATAAAATTTGTTAAGCAGTCCTGATGTGCAGTAGGAAACAAAAGCACATTTTATTTGGAAACCATTCGAGACAGTAGATTATTAAAAGACATGCAAGTGATAAAGATGGCGCGTGGAGCGTGGGGGTCGGAGGCGCCCTGGAATGCACATGGGATCGATCGCCGTAGCCCAACCTCATCAAGCCTTCCATTTCTTCGGGGTTGACAAATTGGTATCAGACTTGTCTGGGAGGATAGCATCACTGATTCGATACATCGGTAGGCCACCGCGAGTCATTATGAAGGCCACATATGCCTTCAATCACCTCCAACGATGTTTAATGAAATCGAATTCATGGCCCATCCCTCAGGGAATGATCAACGCCGAAAACTTTATCCTTTTAGGTAATAAAGGTGTTTTGAATTGTTTAGGGGAAATTATTGAAATTTCGAACCATGCGACAAAAATGCATTATAGTCAACATTAAACCTTCACACACATATATGTCAAAACTTGCTCACTCATCACTTTTAGGTAGAACGCTTAGCTCAAAAAATAACCAATGTCTTCGTTAGAATTCTGAGTTCACATCAATGAACAGTAAAAGACTGTTAGAAAAATAAATAATAAAAGTTTTGCTTCCTTACGGTCTAACCAAGTATGCAAGTTTTAAACTGCAATCTATATTTAGAAAATACCATATTTTTGTCAACCGCATTGGGCACACAATTCTGGAATGTTGGCGAAGGACACGTCTCGGACCTCTCACATGGAGACGAAAACTGAAGAAAAGCGTCTTTAGCACCGAGGCCACAGAAATGGCTCAAAAGAACCCACGTTTCCACCACTGAGTTGCGAATTCGTATCAGAACATGACCCGTCAGTGAAGACAAGTTGAGGCGGCGATTCCTCGTCCTAAGCAGAACACGTTATTATTAAGCAAAAGTAACAAAAAAACTATTCGCATTTCCACGGTTGATTTTATATTATGCTCGGCATTGATCAAATAGTTCTCGATATTCTTGATGAGCAAACACAAGGTGTTATTTCAGTCTTTACTCCGTTAAAGCTTACGTTTCGGCAGTGTCGCCTTCAGAGCCTAGAAGGGTATACTGCTGTATCAATCAAAGTAGCACCTCTTGTTTGCTCAACAAGAATATCGAGAACTATCCGCATTCATAAATCTACGACGAAACGTCCAAGGAAATAAACGCACTTCTGAACCTATTTCCATGAAATCGTGAATCTCATCATCTTCGAATCCGTTGTGGTTCAAAACAACCGACCGTGGTTCTCTGGTGCATGGCGAGCCATCCATGGTTTCGTGGTCGTTCCTCAGTACAATAGGTCCCATACACAAAGAATAAGCATCACTTCAACTTGTGAGATCACCGGACGAATCTTGGCTGAACAAAATGAAGGAAAAAACGTCTCACATTAAGTATTCCGTCAAAACCCGTATAAGACTCAAAGAACTATTGCGATTACTCTGCATCTAGAAAATACAGAAGAGAACATTCCGGCAACATTCATCAGCGTTTTCAATAATACACTTCGCCTGTTAAGACGCGGTAGAACAATTGCAGTGACAATAAATATTACATTTTTGCAATCAACGCCAAGGCAGAGAGCCAAAACCAATGGACGTCATAGGCATAGAGCCTCCGACTTCACGAACTTGTTCATATAATTTTGAAACACTTCAGTTATGTGTGGTTTACAAACAGAACACTTCCAATGTTAAGCTACGGAATAGAGCAAAACTTTACCAACAAAGCGGTCAGTCACAATACTAAACATTAGGGAGATAATTCCTGGCGTTGCAGTGAACCCTAAACGTGCGTAAGATCGATCGTGCACAGAATTTGTATGCACTATAGCACCCCGAACTGAAAACAAACTGAAGTAAAAGGACCAAATGTTTCAAACCTAGACTGCCAGAACAACCTCTTATATGCTTAGATAAAGACGAATGCCTAGACGCTTCCGCATTCGTTCAAGCATAAGAAGGCCACTGACATCAAGATAACGAAGAACATAGAAAGAAATTGTACGTGGAAAGGAACAGAACGACTGTTTCACACCAGCCACAAAGAAACGTCAGTGAATAATATGCTTGAAAACATTATTAGAAACTGGAGTTAGCTCTTCATCACTTTTTGCACTGTCGTTGAGGTGGCCGGTCCTTCTCCGGCGCGGCAGTGTCGGTCTGCATTGCAGACGGTGCAGCAGCAGTAAGCAGCGCCTTTTCCGCTTTCAGCATTTTGTTGCTATGTGAAATCACCTGAAAATGGAAACACTCGTGAATCAAGATATCCAGCAGCCGAGAAATCAATATCAGAATATGCATGAGCTCCAGCTCCACAAGAACCAATACATGCCCAAATATCCCGAATATCTGAAAAAAATTTCCACGGGCTCGCCTTTCTGCTGGAATACTCCTTCATTCATCCCTATTAAAGTATCTACTCCAACGAATGTAAACAAATCCGAAAGAAGAGTCCTGGAGATCTAGCTACAAGTAGATGATCTTGTCTATATCTTTGGTGCTATCCAACAAGCACCAGCACTAAGGTTATAAAAACAGTTTAGTTATGCCAACACTACCACCTTTAGATAACTGGGTCTATGGCGTTCACTTTACGTAATCGCTTGCGATCTTCGGAGAACAAAAAGGCGATTAAATCTAAGAACAACGCCAGACATGAGGCACAAAGGACAGTATGGATAGGTGGTTACTAATGAAAATACTTTTTTCTTTTTTAGGTGGACCTTGTGTTTACAACGTCCACCTAAAAAAGAAAAAAGAACTTAAAGAGGAGCTAAACAGGTGGGACTTAGAGGAATTTTCAGGCCTCTGGAAAAATCATAGGTCACGTTTCAGCGAAATGTATGCAACAATTCTCACAACGTAATCAGTAAGTAGTCTATCGCAACGAACAACTACCATGACAACGATGAAGAACGGATGGTGAGATGTACGCGAAAATATTAACCACCTTGCTCCTACTCTTCATTACAAGACAGCAACAGTGAGATGGCTCGGAAACACTGCGTAGGAAGACTCAATGTGTTATAATTAACTGAAAACGAATCCTTATATGATTTGTAAACGTAACTTCAAACTTTGACTTCCATCTGCTTGAAGTATTATGTCAGTGCCAACAGTACGAAGCCATTTACCCGTAAACAATGAGTTGCCAATCTGAAATCAGAATTTTTCTACAGAAGAAATAATAAAAGCATCAGATAGGCGAATTTGATTCATTTCAGGACAAAGGAGATTGTTCTCGAAAGCAATAATGCCAAAAGCCTATTGCTCACATGCTCCCACAAGAACCAGGAAGATCAAAAATGACACATTTTCAAAGTTTTTCTACCCTTTCTGAATATTCTGCTGTTAGAAACCAAAGATGCTGTCTGTAGTACAATGCCACTTGAATATGTGCAAACCCACTAATATCAAGTAATTTGAAGGAGTATCAGTAAACTATTGACTCGCCACTATCAGGCTTCAAGCTACCCAGTGGGCTTCACTTGGCTATGAGACCGTTTATTCCACCTTTGAGAGTCAAGCAGAGACAGCAACTACTTAAACGATAGTCTCTATACTGTTTAACGTTTTGTTTTCTGCCTTCTATAATTTTCATGGCAGGTTACTAAGCGAAATACAACCACAACGTTGCTGAGATATTTGCAAAACTCTGGACCGCAGGTGTCTATGGTGTCTCTATACTCTATAAAAAAAGTCTCTATACTTTCTAATATTCAGTACAACTGAGTATTTCATCACTAAACTACTACGAAGTAGTGAGGGGCTCAACTGCCACTATAATACTGGTGCATCAATCGCAGCCACCACTACAGGAGCCATTGTGATAATGACAAAAAAGCTGGAAACATTATGGCAATGCTGGAATGCAGTGGACCCGAGAAGTGCTAACAGGCTAATATGCAGTACTGCTTAATTGTTTGAGCAACACGTGAATAAATACCACACGTACGCAATAGAAAGGTGTAGGTATTAAGAATAGGCCGTTCCCTCCCAACTGTTAGCTGCCCCATAGTGGATGGTAGATGTTCTTGGGTGTCCGACTGCCATGTACAAGGGGACAGGCAGGGTCTCGCAAGCTGAGAGGAAGTCCGGCGTTTCCATCAAGAAGCCTAACTAAGAGTCAACCAATACCAGAATCCACCACCGCCCTGTTATCAAACTAGTCGCGTGGTGGCAAATCCCTTCTGATTCACAAGAGTGGCGACCGCGTCTGGTGCTAACGACCTGGGACAGACTTTGGCTAGGCTGAGCTGAGGACACCAGGGAATCACAATGGCTTAACCAGCAAATCTCCGAAAAGATGGAGATTAAGCTGCGGCCTACACAACCATTAATGACCCATCCAAGTATCCAAGTAAGTCGTAGTTTAGGTATCAAGAACACTGTAATAGTTACTGTACCCGTCTCTTCACAGGTACTGACAAACCGTACCCTCAACTAAAAAACATCTATACCTCTACTCGGATATACATATACGGATATTTAAAGAGTGAGATACATTAGCAGTATGCTTGCGGATGGCGAAGAACTCACTTGCAACAATGGCGCTTCCGTCTCCGCTCGCCTCAACGTGGTCTGCTTTGCAGCAATAGACTGACGGATACTGAGTGCATCTAGCACACCGCTCACTTCTACTACGACGATTTCGTCCTCCCATTCGTCATCACTTTGTACAGTTGGCATCTATAGTTTTAAAAAACTAAAGTTGTAAGAGCCTTCTTAGCCTCTCACTTTAGATAAATGTAGTAAAGGACATGACAACGACAACATGGAGATGACAAATGGACTACAATTGTTTTTACAACCGTTAACATTTATTTCACGCAAACAACCCAAACCAATTGAATAGAATGCCCGGTTCAAAATGCGTTTGTACGCATTTCCGATGGGCATTGAGAAGCATTAATAACAATAAATGTAAGCAAATGATACAAAGAATGAATTGCAGTAGCATCCACTATTTGGTATTGCCTCACGACGCACTCTTCCTGATGAGTTCCATGATTCTCGGGTAGTGAGGGACGTATTTAGTTTCATGACGGCTGATAACCGATGTGGTATAGGAAGTCAATAAACCGCTAAGAAACGATACTATTTCGCCATCAGAATGCTCGGAGCACCATTTTACATACTGGTCCACCTAAAAAAAATAATAGACAAGGTAGGTGGAAAACCAATTTTCATTAATATTTGCGAAAATGTAAAACCCATTATATCTCCTTATTGCTGAAACACAGAGATCGCACAAGAAAAACTACTCCATCAGAAGAAAACTGACCAATCAAACAGTAATAACGCACGCAAAGTTAGATCTAACCCACCTTCTCTCAACTGTATGGTGCCCTTATTAACTCTCGCGACCGTGCCGATGTTGTGTGTTTACTATGCGTTACTATAGTTCAGTGTGAAAACAGATTGCTACCAGCACTTAGAAGTGTTCTGCAGCCTATGCTGATTCTATTTCAGTATTCCTTATAACCATCCATTCCATGCGATAACTATTGATTCATTATAAAAAAAAGAATGAAGCTCTCGACGTTGATCAGTCCCTGAGTGATGCGCCATACATCCGACTTCATTAAACATCGTTGGAGGTGATTGAATACATATCTGGCCTTTATATTGACTTGCGGTGGCCTACCGTTGTATCGAGCCAGTGCTGCTATACTCCCAGACATGTCTGGCACCAACATGCCGACCCCGGAGAGATGAAAGACTTGGTGAGTCTGGCGTGCGGTGATCGATCACGTGTATTGCAAGGCGCCTCCGACTGCACTACACGCGCTTCATTAATTCATTTTACCAATTAAAATTGAATTAACATTCAATTACTCGCGACAGCCGTCAATCTAACGGTCAATGAAGTTGCTCAAAAAACGCCTTCTTGTATAATGATAAATGCAGAATAGAGGTACACCCGAGGCTCAAAAAAATGGTTAGAAAAAAGTCAATGAGAAGAGTACGCATCGAAATTAACACGTATAGTGTTGCGAAATGCCCGCGAACGTACGCATTGAGACAAAGTGCATGTACGTGGTAGAGTTAACATCAACATATGGAGATCACTGCAACGGCAATGTGTCCCACATAGGTAACTTTTCTTCCTATTGTGATTTTCGCCCTATAAATCGGTTTTGAGTCACTTGTAAAAAATGACGCTTCATAACATAATGCAATGCCAATTGCACAATAATTCTCGGCAGTTTTTCGATTATTAGTGTATTTCAAGAGTTGGGAACATAACATATTCACAGAAGAAACCTTTCTCCATCGTTTCACGGTTACGAGGTTATCGAATGCTAGATCAAGCAAATTCGTACTGTGGTCATACACTTTAGGTTAGAGAACAGGTGTTCGGGTTGGTAAAACCGACTTAGCAAACTTGGTCACTCTAAGTTCACCTCGAACGAATCTTGTGAAATGACGAGCGTAACCATGAATTTGCTGCGGGTACGATTCTTCTGTTCCGTGCCAGGTATGCTGATCATTTAGTTTTAAAACTGGATAATTACGACTCGGTTACGTCAAGTGGATCCGAAAATCATTCTACAAAATCTCAACGATGATAACGAAGCTAACTACCCCATCGTATTTTTGATGTACGTCTAAACCACAGAGCTAGGTCGACACCAACGATTTGCTAGACGAACCAGTGTTGCTTTATATTCTCTCATTTCATACGGCAAACGTGATCCCCCGTTGCCACTGCGAAGCATCAAGCAATCAGTAGTTGGCAAGAAGATCACAGATCAAAAGTTGGCGGGCTTTGCTAGAGGTGGCACTTGAATTACCTGAGTATCCCTTATGGACTTGATGAAGATTACTCGGAATCCGTCTACACGGTAAATTAGGCGTCAGTTCTCTTGAGAGATCGACAATAGCTGCTTCCTGTGTCTCGCGTATTTTCATGTTTGCGGGACTGATGTTCTACGATCTTCATATCGAAGACTTTTGTGGGCGATGAATGCGAGGAAAACGATACAATCGTAAGAAGTGCTGGGGTCTGCACAGTAGACGTGATAGCAGATCACGTTACATTGATGATAAACAACAACAGTAATTAGTACTAATAACTAATAATAATAATAATAATAATAATAATGGGTGATAAATAATAATAATAATAATGGTGATTGATAGTAATGACTAGAATAATAGTAATGATTAGTAGTAATAATAATAAACAATGAATAATAATAACAATAAATAATAACAGTGAAAATAGTAATAGTGAATACCAATGGTAAAGATAATAATAGCAGATAATAATATCAAATAGTACGAATAATAATAATAAAATAATAATAAACAGTAATAACAACGAACAACAAATAATATTTGCATCAATGTTAACTTTTTATTTACTGCCTTTCACAAGTTTTCACGGCAAGGTATACACTATTTGTGAAACAACCAAAATGATGCTGAGATCTTTGCAAAACTCCGGACCGCAGGTATATGCGGTAGGGAATAAACGCGCTATTCCCTTCCCAGATCTACATTAGTAATAGCAGTAATAAAGTATAATAATAATAAGAGTAAAAATAATAAAGCTGTAATGAAAGCTCTTGTTTATCGTTTCCAATAGTTTTTAATGGGTAAGATATGAAATTTTATAGGTGCGAATAATGTCGGATTTAGCGATCTTTAACTCATTCCGCTTCGGCTACAGTATTTCGTGGCTGCCTCAACGGATGATGCACCATTTTTTTTTTGTCGGCTGCAAACTTTCTATTTAACAGTAAGGAATCTTTTCTCAACAAACGGTGGACTTGAAGTGTTATGAACATGATAGGACTGTAGAAGAGACTTTGGTCTATCGCCTATCGCTTGATGGGCATACGTATTCTACTATTCACTGTGTTACTATGATCCGTTTTGCAAGTACATTGTTGTATGCATTTGAAAGTATTTTACAGTCTACATCGATTTTATTTCGGCATTTTTCATACCCACACATTCCATAAAATGATTATGCTTCATCATAGTGATTAAAATGAAATAACACTTAATTGTTAGCCAAATTACCGGTCAACGAACTCTTTCGAAAAAAGGTTTTTTTTTTGCAAATCATCAAGTGTAGAGGAGGTTTCACTCTTATTATTTTATTTCGCTTTCGATTAGCTATCGAATGAATATAAACAGTCCGGTAAAAAGAAGAATGGAACCGGTTAACTCAATATAAACACTAAAGTGTCCATACGGTTGTTTGGAGCAGATCGCTCTAGATACTATAGTGTCAATACCGGGTGGAATGTGTTAATGGATAAACAATAAAGCATTCCGTATTGTTCAATCGCTGGTGGATTCGTCATGTATTCGATTACGACAAGCTTCGCTAGAGATGGTTGAATGCATATTTGACCTATACAATGACTTGTGATGGCCCAACAGACAAGTCTGGTAGCGGTTTCTCGACCCCGTCGAGTGGTCTACCACCTCGGCGATATCTACAATGCTTTGAGTCAACTCCCTATCGACAACGATGTTGAAGACAAAGAAGACAATCAACCGGAAGAACAACCAATTCTCTGTGTGGAACAGTACAAAGAAATGGAGTTGGAGAATGAAGATAGGGATCAGGATGAATATGATGTCGACGCCGTTGATGAAGTAAGCAGTGAGTGCTCTGACAGTGTTGTATCATGCGACGTCTTCAACCTCGACAATCACAAATCTGAGGTTGAAATGCCGCTCCTTAATAGTTTCAAAGAGCCGAAGTCGATAAATTTTTATGGATTGTTTATAGAAGGGAGTTGAAACTTTGTCCTATCGGAGACTAACAGAAATGCGCACGGGAAAGTTCAAGCGTTGAAGCCAATTACTGTTGGAGAGTTCAGGAGATTCACTGGACTCTGCTTATAAATGGTTCAACTGCCAAAGTTGAAAGACTACTGTAATGCAGGTGGCGCCTTTGAATGAAAAAGGAGTCCAAGTAAAAGCACGAAATAGATTTGAATACTTATTGGTCTATCTGCATAAAACTAATGGATGAGTAAATACCTTCCTAGATTGGAATAACATGAGGTTGATAAAAGAGATTTATTCGACTAACACTGCGACGTCTTCCTCTTTTTAAGAGGCAGACTGCTCCGAGTTGGGTGTCTGGTGAATTGCAGCACCGCTCGAATGAAGAAACTCTGTTGGCGGCGCACTTTTATGGAGGACAAATGTAGATCTACTGCAATCATCCAGCATAATTTGCTTTTTGGGTAGCAGCGTATGCTGCAGCAGGCGGTATTATATTAGCTAGTGCATACGGAATTATGAATGAGCACTAATAGCAAGGGCGCCTGTGGCGCAGTGGTCGGAGGTGCTCTGCAACGCACACGTGGAATTGAATCCCGCGCCCATGGCCCACCAAGCCTTTCATCCATCCGGAGTCGGCAAACTGGTACCAGACTTGTCTGGGAGGATAGCAGCACTGGCTCGATACAACGGCAGGCCACTGCGAGTCATTGTAAAGGTTAAATATGCATTCACTCACCTCCAAACGATGCTTAATGAAGTAGAATACATGGCGGATCCCTCAGGAATTGATGAACACCGAGAGCTTTATCCTTTTATCTTTTTACAAATAGCAATTTAGGATTATAAATCCCCTGTCATACATAACAAGCGGGTCAACATGAAATGTGGCCATTGAAACGCATACTAGTACAGAAATCGTTTCAATAATGCCCAAATTAATTGAAGGCACGGATGATATGACTGTTACTACGTGAATGGCGCTGCATGTGGATTGTACAGTGCACGTAAAATCTGTAAATCAAAGTTTGTTGATTGTATTGAATGTAAATTATTAAAGAATTATAAATCAAGCACGTAAGTGTAAAGAGTACTTGTTACACAAGGCTTAAGTTAAAGATTGTAAAGAGTAGCATTAGATATACAGGATTAAGTTTGTAAAGGTCTTAAGCGGCACACAACAAGTATTTTCTGCAAAAGTTTTGTAAAATGGAACTATTTCTTTATAAGTTTTCAACATCAGTTGAAATTTCAAAGAATAATGGTTTGAAATAAGCCACACTATGTGAGGAACATGTTTATGAACGCTTAGTGTTTCTATAACCCCTCATTCTGATATTTGCTACAACACAGTTGCACGTTAAAATTTACCTATGCAACGTTTCGTAGTGATTTACTACCTTATCATCGATAAAGGTGCCTATTGGTGCCTTAATGTTGAAGTACGGCAAAGCTGTCACTTAAAGCTGTCAGTATCTCTTCCTAAACGGTTATAGTCTTCTCTAGCGGTCGCTCTTTTCGGCAACAGTGGTCTCCTGACCGCAAAATGCTAAAAAAAAACAAAATTTCAAAAAAAACCAATTTTCTACCGTTCTGTATTCTCGTGTTACTTAATTTGATTAGTAGACTTTATTACGAGTTGAGATATGCTTGTTTAAAGATGAAAGGCTAAATTGTTTTTGACCAAGTTTGAGTGTGTTAAGAAACTATGGGGATATTTTTAGGCTCAGATATATTGCAGAATTGAAAAACTGCAGAGAATATATAAAATAAACTAGTATACTCTAATCGTCTAAGCATATATGCAACAAAACAAGTAATTTCACAATTTTGTACCAGTAAAATTCATACCGTCCATTCGACACTGACATGAGGCGAAAGGAGACTGGCTGGGCTATCGGCAATAAGCAGATGAATATATATCCAAGCAGGCAGTGGAGAGCTCATCATCAGCTCGTATTCAGTTTCTTGGCTTACACAAGAAAATACTGAACGCAACTGTATTCTGTCTGGATATTTTCGACTTGGGGCTAACTTTGCATCTACCACATTCAATAGGCTGAAATAAAAAGCTAAACATATGATCTATGTGATTCGTTGCTTCGAACTAAGAATACTACAGATGGACATTTTGATCAAAAAGTGTTACTTAACTTTCCAAATCAGCAAAAAGTTGTTGTCTAATACGGTCACTAAGTGGCCTAAGCAATGTGGCGTTGAGCATAAAAACTTGGATGATATAGTCTGCTAATAAGGACAACGAATAAGTACTTTTGATTGTGGAATAAAAGTGTGAAAAATGACGTTCCACCCGACAAACGTATTCAGTAAACTCCTGAAAACATTCCAATTTTCCAAATTGCATAAGTATATGATATTTTTGACCCTCGGTCCAGAAAACAAGTAGATCGTCAGACAAAATGCGACTTTCAATGCGTGTAAAGGGATGAATGTTGTTTGTGCATTATGAAGGTGCGAATGAAAACCTGCATATAGGGAGATGTCGATTTTTCGAAAACGATTTCATGATGCATCGATCCAATTATTGCAAATATACTTCCACGAATGGAATCCATAATAGTTGATACACATTCAAGTTCAAATGATAGTAACGGTGCTGCTTGAGCAGGCCATTTATTGGTTAAACTGTTGGCAACCTCCAATAATTTATAATTCTTCAACTGATCATTTCTTAAACGATCTCCTGCAAATAGCTATTTTTAACTACAGATGACATAGACTACTAGGATTACACTGGATAGATTATTGAGCCTCTAAAGATCATACAAAATGAGGGAGAAAGGTGCCATCTATTTAAATCCATATGGACGAAGAGAGATTTACTAATATGAACTAACCAAACAGCAGATTTTCTGGATCCAACTTAATTTCTGATTCCAATCGTTTTGCAACCATACTTAAGCACTTTTGCACGTTTCTTTGTGTTGCGTCCCGTAACTCTGAATCCCATTCGAAACGTCTGACTTCTTCTTCAACGGTGGAAACTAACTAGAAATAGGCAAAAAGCAGATGCTCAACATGCAAATACCTAGAATATACACTAACCAAGTCAACAAAAATGCTACTTTGACTTGTAAGATCGTGTTGTTCCACAACATTATGAAGCTTCGCCAACGACTGACTTAAAATAGAAGTTTTCAGTGGTCGAAGAGCATCAGCTACAGGTCTGACACAATCTGGAGACCCAATCAACATTCTGCTCATCTGCTGTACAAATCTGAAAATAGACTACAAATTGATGAAATTGAAGCAAATATTTGGAAGGCTCACTTCAACGCAAAAGGTGCATCCAGTGGAACCCGTGCACGAATGCTACGTACTAATCCTTCAATGAATTTCGTCAAATAGTTGCTGCCTGAACATTAAAACAATACCAACCACGATTCCAACCCCAATAATGTATAAAATTGGGAGAATTGAAAGGTTATTACAAGTTTTTCACACCCTTTAAAAACATCAAAAATATTGAAATTTCCTGAATCTTAGCGAAACGAAAAGAGAACATAAGCATTGCCAGAGAATCGACGAAATGCACGAAATGTAACCAAATGTGGAAATCGGTTACTTATTGCTAATGGTCAGACACAAGAAGACACTGTATAAACCAAAGGTTAGCAAATTTCTTAGACAGCATGAAAACATCAGTCAGTGAACTGAAATAAAACAAAAGGAGAATTATTATATGATGACTAATGTATGTATTCTTACGAACTGCACTTGTTTACCTGACGCGAAACTGGTATTAGTTATTCTCGCTGTTCTAATTAGAGTGGGGTGACGTTTCGGAGACTTCGATTTCTTCATAGCTTGGACGTGCCTTATGTAAGGTTAGGATCTGAAGAAGGCAAAGTCGCCGAAACGTCAGTCATCAAACCTCAACAACAACGACAGCTGATACCAACTTTGTATCAGTTCATCGAGAGCAGTCCGTAAGAATTCCATATATTAACTATTAATGCCTAGGTTTATAGAAAGTCGACCCTTTGCGCTATTACATGATAGATCACAGGAATTCGAGACTGAATCCTGCGACAAAAAAACGCTGGTTAGGGACAAGGACCAAAACAACTCGATTTTCCTCAGATCTTGAAAACGTCACAAAATTTCAGTATTATGAATTTCTACAAAGTAGAGAACTGGAGATTTCCGAACACTAGAAAGTGTAAATTTTTAAAACAAACGGAACACAAATTTAGGAAGTTACAATGAAACGACAGTTACAGAAGGAAATAAAGAATTTGAAATCAAATAAGTCTCTACTCGTAATAGACCCACCTAACAAAGTAAACTGGTCAATTTGTGAATGTATATGACTGACACATTGTTGTACAAGACGAACACTGTTATCTGGATTTGACGAAAGTTCAAGGAATTCCTTGTCAATCTCAGCTGTAGAAGATGCCAGATATACTTCAAGCTCAGCTATAACAAGAACGTAAAAAACTAAGGCCATTGTAGTTCCATGTCAATATTTGTCTGCCACACGGAGACCACTCATGCTGTTTGACAGCTCTATACTTCAAATCTTACATCTTATTTAATAGAAAGTATTAGTTGGATTAACTTCTCTGCAAATTACTGCTTAAGAATACCTTCTAAGACGCCAAGATTAGCCAGAGCCCTAGTTGCCGAAGCAACCAATGAAGCGTTAAGACTTGCGAGGCCCCGCCTCATGTCGTTTGCAGCAGAACGACGTACCTTAATAGGAAGGATTGCATCAAAATCATAACAACCATTATCACGTCACTTTTTCTTATGATTTTGTATGCTTCAGGTGCACCACCATGGTAATACACTTTAAAGTAAGGCAAGCTTCGACAAGGCACCAATTTTTTTTTAAAACGAACATGACATAAATGTTTGTCAGAATAAACTCAAGAAGCTGCCAAGAAGTGAGTATCTATGTTCTCAACGACTAACGTTTTAATACCTCTTTCTCAACGGCCTTCAAAGTTGTTTTCAGTGTTTCTCGCAGCCACGTAACAGACAGCAGATCAGGGTTGTCCGCAACGACTCCTTTAATTTCACTCACTATTTCCGAGCGTTTGACTATCTCATGTCTCTTTTCAAGTGAATCCACCAAGCCTTCACACCTTAACAGTACAAGGTTAATGTGCACAAACAAAATTTACAGGAAGCCGACGAAAAAAGTTAATACCTAAGGGCGTCTGCAGTCAGATTCCTTTCTGAAATAATCTGCTCTAGCGATAACGTTAACTTGCGATAATCGCACAGCAGCGAGTCCAACGTTTTCGCAAATCTTAACGGGAAATCCAAAAAGAAGAAACGAATTTCAATAGTCCATTTAATGATGAACGATGAGGTACTGTTTGTAAGTACTTGTCGCATGTCTCATACACGTCGTTCATCTCAGAATGAACACTGCTCTGAGTTCTATCCAAAACCTCTAAAGCTGTCGTTTGTTCTAGTAATCGTGACAAATTTTCCTCCACCTAAATGCGAACGATTCATCCATCATAAACCTAAAAAGTTAATCCTATTCAAAGCTAAAGCGAAACAAAGTAGCTGAAAAAAAAACTCACCCCTTTTCTCAACTGCCTGTTGAGAGACTCATCAATTTCACTCACTCGGCGAAGAATATTTCCGGACGTGAACTCATCGGAATGAAGAACTCTGTAAAAACAATCAAGACGTGGTTGAATAATATTCCAACTCTAATTTTTGCACTTTTAACACTCTCAACTGTGAACTCCCAGAAATGTAAAAAGAGCATTTTACAGCAACTTCAAGCCAAAGCATCAAGTGGCTCTCAACCACCTAACAAATCACTAGTATCTCCAGTGACTGCTTAGTGGTACAATATTTATCAAAACCTACAATAATAAGTCAATCCCGGCGATGGGTGATTGCTAATGGCACTGATCGACAGAAAACTAGCTGAGAGACAGGTGAAACAAAGGACCCGCATGGTGTGGTGGCAAACGCGTTAGCTCCCGGAAAGAATGACAGCGTGTTCGCTCACCATCGGAAAAGTCTGGGGTCCAGTGTTTTCCAAATATCTCAACACCATAATGATAAGACATTCTATTGAAAAACAAGCATTAGATATGGGACATTTCTATTTACACCTCTGGAATAGAAACTAAAACAATTGATACACTTAATATAAAATTGACGTATATACAGTTAAAGATTCTTAATGAAAATGGAGGACACAGGAAATCAATTACTCCACCACTGACATATTTGTTCCTAAACCCTCCTCAAGATTCCCTGCAGCTCTTCGGATATAAAGTGCTGTTTTTGTTGCAACAATTTTCTGATGTCTTTCTTTATAAAGCGAATTAATATTATGAACTTAAAGCATAGAAGTATTAGTGCCAAGCTGTAACGAAACGTTCTTTTACTTACTTTTACTTAAATGTCTTCTCGAAAAATATATAGTGGACTACCTTTCAAGATAGGTTTGCTCGGTTGACCTTCCCCACACGTAATCTTCAAGGTCATCTTCAGCTCTCCGAACCATTAATACTGCACCTATCCAAAGATCTAATCCACTTAATAAAATCCATAAGTTACTTAGTATAATGGGAAAACCCCACGTTCACTCAAAAACGTATTCAAAGATTTAATACACAAAAAGACATCATTTAAACATCAAGACAACAATGAAACTAAAGAACGACGGAAAGGCAATTGAAAAACAATTTGCGTATATACAAGCCATCAAAACAAACCTGATAACTGAGTATTTACTTCCTGTGTTGCCCAGTGACCGCCTTTTTAAGATTATACTTCTCTACAAACAGAGGAGAAAGCAACTCAGAGACGATACCCCTTGCAATTGTTTGATTACTACTTCCATCTCTTAAGGTAAATGGTACTCCCTTCCGTAACGGCATATCACGCATGAAAGTAATGGTTGTATGAGTATGTTCTCCAGGCATAAGAATATCGTTCGAAAAATCAAACCGAGCGACCTGAAAACGGATGGGCTATGGAGAAATACAAAGAACATCCAATCGAATCACATGCAAAAAATTTAAACCAGGATTGAGCAACCAAATCAATGAACAAACCTGATCCCATGTACTGCAGAAAAGTTTGTCTGTAAACCCAGATCTAATTCCAACTTTCCGACCATTTTCCTTCTCGTCAAGCAAATACATTTCCGCATTTACGTGATTTGTCATATTCACAACCCCTATGTGGCCTAACCACATGCCTAGAACATTTCAACTAATTAGTATTATAGGTTTAATAAAAGGAAAACTAACCGCGTGCAACATGGTCGGACTTCACTCCCCTGCAAAGAACACCACAGTGATCACCAGCGCCAACCTAAGTGGACTCTACAGTTCGTCGAGAACCATTAGATGATATAAATGTGTTGAGAAGATTACACAAAAATACCTCTTTTACGCTTTTACCAAAGACTTGAATGTCGGATGCCGTTGTGAGCAATTCCCGCCCATTCCCCTTTATTTCCACTTTATCACCTTTTTTCAAAATACCCTGCTCCACAGTGCCAACAACAACAGTACCTACAAGTAACTCTATGAAGAAACCTTGTAAAGATCAACATCACCTTTTTCTTCTACCTCGTCCCGTTATGGACACTTTTGATGCCACAGGCATAATCAGAGCTTCTTCCTAAAAGATATATGGAACAAATAGGTGAACTATACAGTACTAAGTGCAAAGGAAGCCCAAAAGAGAAACTCAAGGAATAAAAAAGATTTCTAGAAAAGAAAGCAGAAGATGAAGTCGGTCGGAGAACAAACTTTGTTTCGTTGCGGCTCTGGTAAGGCATCCAAAACAGATAGCAATTCTACAATGCTGGAAGCATCTACACCGTCGAGAGCATTCAACGCAGATCCACGAACAACAGCGGCACTCTCACCTGCAATGAAAGAGAGTAACAAAGACACATGCATAAAAGAACGAAGGAAACAGATCATATCTAATGATAAAGTAACTTTAACCATACCATCGAAACCATGTGAGGAAAGAAGTTCACGTGCTTCGATCTCTACAAGATCAAGTACATCATCCTCAACCAAATCAGCTTTGTTTATGAAGACCACAATGTGTTTTAACCCTATCTGATGAGCCAACATAAGATGTTCCTAGAAGAATTTAGTTGAAAAATAAGGCCACACAGTTGTTTATACAAAGCAATACAACGAATAGCTTTTTAAATACTGTCTACTAGTGCGCGAGTTTTGAAATGAAAATAAATAAGAAAGCACTAATAGTTATGGACCAAGAGGGCTTGTTTAATAAAGCTAGCATTTTTTGTAAATACCCAAAAGTCAATCGTCCATTTAGCCTGTCTTAATGTAACAGTTGTGAAGAAACTTTCAAATCAATGTAACCTTACTTGAGCACCTTAGTTTGGGCCATTACACCATCTGTAGCCGCGATCACTAGTACAGCAGCATCCATTTGTGCTGTGCCACAAATCATATTCTAAAAAACATAAAGCTATTAAATGCATCAAAAAACAATGAAGCTCTCGGCGTTGATCAACCCCTGAGGGATGCGTCATGAATTCAACTTCATTAAGCATCGCTGAAGGTGATTGAATGCATATCTGGCCTAAACAATGACTCGCGGTAGTCAACCGCTGTTCGACCCAGTGCTGCTATCCTCCCAGATAAGTCTGGTACCAATCTTCCGACACCGGAGGGAATGAAGGCTTAGTGAACCTGGGCGCGGCGATCGATCCCATGTATATTGCAGGGAGCCTCCAACCGCTGCTCTACGCGTGTGTATATTGTGTGCATAGTGAGAAAAAAAGCAACCTTGATAAAATCGGAGTGGCCAGGACAATCAGTGTGTGAATATCTTCTCGAGTTGCTTTCATAGCCGATATGAGCAATATTAATAGTGATTCCACGTTTCTTCTCTTCCTTTGCCTTGTCGATTTCGTCAAACTTGACTGGTTTCGCAAGACCTATAAAGATGAAATAAGCTGTAACTGTTGGCTTAGTTAGTAGAGACGACAATTTAGTTGATTCTGCGTTTTTCCACTGCAGCTGTTGCTTTCTAATGGTATAACTATTTAGTTGGATACCTTGATGACCGCCTCGCAACGGTTTACCGCATCATCGTGGCTGGGAGGTGTCCATGGGTGTTGGACTGCGATGTACAGTGGGAAATTCACTCCCTGGCAGGGTCTCCCAAGCTGAAAAGGAGTCCGGCGTTTCCACAATGAAGCCCAGCTAAGAAGTACCAGGATCCACCACCGTCCTGTTATAAAGCTAGTCGCATGGTTGCAAATCTCACTCTGATTCACAACGGCGGCGACTGGCTGGTGGTGAGGACATGAGGCAGACTTTGGCCTTGCTGACCCCGGGATTCCGGGGAACAACGATGGCTAAACCAGCAAGTCTCCGAAAAAGTGGAAATTATGCTGTGGCCCTCAATGATATAATTACTAAACACAAACCAAACAAGTTCGAATTTCATAGAACAATGCGAGGGAAAAAAGAGAAGACCGTCATTTCTCACTAAAAAATAAAATCAAACCTTGTTTTGCTAGCACGAAGGTGATAGCGGCTGTAAGGGTGGTCTTCCCATGGTCAACATGTCCTATAGTGCCAACATTGAAATTAGGTTTATCCACTGCAGTCACAGACTGAGCGAGACATCTTGCCGACTGCTGGGCGAAAACCCGCCCACCAATACACATCACAGACGGCTGACAAGTTAGATGTCGATTCCGGGCAGTAATATTTTTCATACCCATCGGAATTTGAACAGCAAATGAGCGAGAAAAGCCTATCATCGCTCACTATGGATGTGCTATAACCTTGGAAATGTTCTGAATTATAGATTAGAGTATATAACATCGCACGTGAAACCACAAAACTTTCATGAAAGCAGAGGAGTGGGGGTCAATCTCTTGTGCAAGAATATTTGGTAGTTTGTTCTCCCACATTTTCTGGAAGAGAGGCTAAACCATAACAACAGCAACAACAACAACAACAACAACAACAAAGGTTGGCAATGAGCAACTTTGCAGTAATGGGTGACTTCACAGTAGTTCGTACGTGGCACGATTCATTCGGCTTTGGCGCGCACTCATCGCCGAATCGGAGCATCGTCTCAGCCACGCGTTCAGGCCGTGCGAAAGACCTTCTGCATCTGTGGGACTTATTACTTACCTGGATATTTGGATTGCCCGTCATCACTAGTTGTGGGGGCCCCAGCATAGTTTCCACTTCTTCAGAGTTTTGCTGGTTTAGTGTGTGTTTCCGTGGAGTCTCGAGGTCAGCCTGGCCAAAGCCTGCCCGGGTCGTCACCACCACAGGCACTCGTCGCCATTGTGAGTCACAGGGAGATCTGCCACCATGCGACTAGTTTGGTACTAGGACAGTGGTGGATCCTGGTATTGGTTTGCTCTTAGCTGGATTTCCTGGTGGAAATGCCGGACTCGTCAGCTTGAGAGGTTTTGTTGGGAGGATAAATCACCCCACTGTACATCGCAGCGCGACACCCAGGAACACCTCCCAGCCACGGTGAGGCGGTAAACCATTAGGAGGTAAGACTTAACATCATTCTGGAAAAAAACAGATTGGACGAGATGTTGAACTATGACTCTCTTCAGTACAATCGATGTTTATATAATGACAAAAATAATGAAATTAATAACTATGAATATGAAGGAGCGGGTAGCGCAGTGGTAGAGGTGCCGATCATCAAGGCACTGCTCTGGTTCGAACCGGACACGGGCTCACCGAGCTCGTTGTCGTTCCGCGGTTGGGGAATTGCACTAGACTTCTCTGGGAAGAGTTCGTTCTCTGCAATCCATATAGAAACGCTCTAGCTTTGCTATCATCCAATAAAAATTGGCGCGACAGACATCAACGAGATTCACAAAGATAAATGCAAAAAGTATATAAATATATATATATATGTATATATATATATATACTTATGTATACATGTGCAAATGATGGATGTTTACCTGATTAGGTAGATGGCTCGTTTTCAGGAAGAAAAGGGATTCGTATGGCACTTCCATTCGTTTCGATCTCCTCGTGAAAATTGTCCATGATGGTTGTCCTCTTCGAACAATAAGACCTTGGCGTGTACCATTCTGTAATTTTCACTGGATCTCGAAGATCATTTCCGAAAGGCTGGAATGCAAAGCCCCACTTGTTGGCTTGAGTACCACTTATGCTTCATAAGACACTGTTCGAATGTTGTGTTTCTTTCGAATCGACAGTGTTTGAAGAGTTTTGACCCTGACATAGCTGTAAAAGCTGCTTTGTCTTCAGTCGCTTCGCTGTTCAAAATACGAGTCTTGACGAGGAAAAGGTTCATTGTTACAGAACAAGAAAATCTTCGTTCTTGTTGACAAAGATTAATAGGTCCGGCTTTTATCTCAATTGTCAGTGTCCGCTATGAGCCGAAGGATGTTTGTTTGACAATGTGTGACGCAATTCTCTTTGAGAGTCACAAATACGAGTCACATATGAGTCTTGTCGAGTCGTGTGTGTTCGAAAGTACATATATGAAGTTTATGGCTTTGAGGGATGCGGTTAGTGCAACTGGGCTTGTATATAAAGTCAAGGAAGCAGTCAATGTGACTATGGCTCGTGTAGTGACTTTTGGTGGATGGGAAGTATATTCATTATCAGTGTTGAGTGCAAGTCCACAAATAAAAAAGGTTAAAAAAGGATCTTGGCGTCGCGTCGATCAATCGCTGAGAGATGCGCCATGCATCCGACTTCATTAAGCATCGTTGGAGGTGGTTGAATGCAATCAAGCCTTTACAATGACTTGCGGTGACCTATCGATGTATCGAGCCAGTACCTAGTATCCTCCCAGACAAGTCCGGTAATAATTTACCGACACCGGAGGGATGGAGGGTTTCGTGAGCCTGTTACGCGGGGATCAATCAATGCGTATTTCAAAGCGTCTGCGACCACTACGCTAAACGCCCTCCTATCCATAAATGAGCTATAAGAAATATCATAGTGAAAGCGCAACTCTTCCTTAATGAGTCTTATTACTTTCCGCACAGCTGAACAATTGTAACTTGACACATCTGACAGTTACCACGCTCCGATCTTGCTTTCCGCTCGGATCGAACGCTTTCTGCTCCTTCGTGCTCTATCGCTCATGGGGCAGTTCCGTGAATAACGGATGTGGTGAGGTCCAGGTTAAGACCAACACTGCCATTTCTCTCAGTTCAAGTGCCTGTCCACTGTTAACCAGCTGGAGCTCTTGAAAGTAGTCATCTGTAGTGTTGCACGAGTTAAGCTTGTCACTGATCATCTCTTTAAGACGCCTTACTTGTTGCTTTGGACGAAAGTTGTTTTCTCAATATACGATCGTCAGATACTGACGTTAGAATAACCTTAACATAGTTGTAAATCGTCCATAGTTCGAAGTAATGTTCATGTCACATATTTTTGGGCCCCGTTGTAGTCCCTCGTACACCGGGTGTTTGATCTAGCCTTTTTACTCCTAGGCGTCAACTTGATTAGGACAAAAAGAGTTGTGTGGAACAGTCGAGGGACTTGATGACTGCTAAAATAAATGATAACAGGTTTAAAATTTCATTACTGAGTGTAATGTTGCCATTACAACTGTAGAAGAAAACGACTACTAAGCAGTGTAGTAACTACCAGGAATGGCAGGGAAACCCGAGTCGTATTCGTATTTCAACTGCAAACTCTAACTCTTACTACTGCTGAAACTGAGCTATTCACGAGGTATTGTTATCGTAGAGGATCGCTGGTGTTACTAAATGGGAATCTGCAACTTTTCTGGCGTAGACCTTTGATGTTGAATTTTACTAAAACTTCGTGGTTACAGCTCATTCAATACTTCGTTGACAGGCATTTCAGGCTCACATGAAAGTCAAAGTGAGCGTTGGATCGAAATCATTCCATATTGAAATTGGTGAAGGAGAAGGATCAGTTTCAACACTGGGAGAACTAAAAGCACTTGTAGCTGAAAAAGCAGATATAGACCCCGCCTTGATGAAGATCATTCACAGAGGTGAATAATTTGTTCCATTGCCTAAAATGTTCTTGTTTCTTAATATAAAAATAGAATAATCATCTTCGTTTTGCCAGACCACAAATTTTCGGCAAAGTTCGTAGGATAAATGTTCGATACGATTCCTTGTTGTGGCAGTGTAGCCCACCAGAGAAGTATTTCTGACTTACGTACCTGGATTGAGCTCTATGTGGAAGACGTAGAAGGGATTATATGGAACTGAATTCGAGATCAGGTGATACTGACATCATCGCTTCCCTTAGTGATGTCTCATAACCGGCTCATAGAGGGCCAAAAATGGCAGTGGAGTTTAGAAGGTGTTGCGGTCGATGTCCATAGCTGCTGACGCTTTCATGACGTTTGAAAAATATCACAGAATACGAGACTGGTCTGTTAAATTAATCGAGAAGATAGTGAATCGCTGCTAATATTAATATTGACTAGGAAAGACGGTCACTGGAGGCAATGATCAGTCACTGTTCGATATGAATTTAAAGGATAACGACAGAGTTATTGTAATGGGTAAAGCTTCGGTTTCATTGAAGGTTTGTGTCTTTGCATTTTTTCATGGTATATAGCTGTATGGTTTTACATTGAAGAAAATAGTACACTCAGGATGACCTCGGTTACTCCAGTCTCGTTTCATACGAGAAAACAAACTTGTCCGGATTACAAAAAGAACATCAAGATATCGAAAGCGATCTCAGCGCACTGGAGCGGAATTATCTCGATGGTAACTGTTCGCGCTCTAAAAATTCGTTTGACATGACAGTTTTGTGAAGTACAAACTGAAATTCCCACGACCGACTCTCTATTAACCTCGGCATTGGTTGAACAATTCTTTACATTCTCGTTGAGCAAACACGAGGTGCTGTTTTATTTCTTTATTAACAAGCAAGCTGATGTTTCGGCGGATTTGGCTTTCCTCATAACCTGGAAAGGTCAACTTGACCGTAATCTACCCAGCCATACACCTCCATAGCCAAGCACAGAAATGCGAAACCAGGATTTCAATCACATTGAACACAGAATGGCTTCTTTGCACATTCACCGCTTTTTTCTTTCTTATTTGGTTATGGATGTGTTTGGGTGAGTAGATTGCGGTCAACCTGACTCTTCCAGAATTTGAGGAAGGCGAAAGCAGGCAAAGCGTCAGCTTGCCCATTAAGAAAGAAGTGAAACAGACTGAAATCTTTAGGTTCATTTCCTGCCTTCCCACCCTTCACACACAAAGAGCGCTCTTGTGAGAAAAATGTTTCGAACAAGCACCTCAGTGTGCACAAGTAGAGAGCTAAAGGAAGGTTTGCGCAACTTGGCTCGGATAATAGCTTTCTCCAATGGCTAGGAGATAGTAACCCCATGAGATAAGTTTAGAAGGAGAACGAGGCGCCAAAACGAATGGTTTGGCCGGAACAAAGTTCCGTTTATCTTGCCCTTTATTAGCGGTGAAATAAGTAGCCATTAAGCGATGCTAAAGAACAGCAGGTCTAGAGGAGTCGGTAGCGATAATTGAAATACCACCGAATACTCTTAGTCGTCAATTAATTCATAACCGCCTATATGACTTTATGTGAAACACAAAATTGCGTAATTCGCCCTTATGGTAGGGACGGTGACTGCATGAGTTCAGATACGATATACCTGATCTCTTGTAGTATTTGCGGAGATGAATATATAGGCGAAACGGTAGACCATTACATATCTCTATAAAACAACACCTAGATGGTAAACAGAAAGTAAGACAAGGTACGCCTCGCTAGGGACGCATACGATACAAAGGCATAGTGGAGACGATTTTTATGTAAGTTAATATCCGGGCGGGAGGCTAAAACACCAACGCGAAAACTACTCGGGTCTTTTTGGATAAATGCCAATAATCCGAAAATGAATAGCAGGGAAGAGCACCCCAGAGATAACACGTGATCTAGCCCCGTATATCAGAATTGTTTTTTTTGATGAAGGGTGGTGCAATCATCAATTATTTGCGACTCTAAGCGGCTGTTCTTCCTGGGTTGAAGGCAGTTAAATAATAGTGGTTTTTTCGAGAAGCTGCTGATCGTGTAATTATCGTTCAGATTTTTGTTTTTCTGTTTGTGCTCTTGAAGGGCTTGACCTAGTAAATTACATGTCAATGTACTCTTCTGAAAAAGGCATAATGCCAAAACGTCAGCTACCGCTGTGTTGTATGTGTTCTTTATTGATTAAAAGAAAAAGAAAATGAAATGTTTAGGTTTTCTTCTCAAGTTTCTTTTAGAATTCAGTTTATGTCGTAACTGCTATCTCATGCTGCTCTAAACTGAAATTTCTGTTTTAGTCGAAAAATCGATGGTGATGGTAGGAAAAATGGAGAAGAGGTTGTCACATTTCACAGAGTGCTCTATGAGGCATCTCGTAGCGTTAGATCGAATGGACATTGTCGGAGAGTTGACAACGGAATCTCAAGTAAAATTTTTACTTTGCGGTTTGAATGCATTTTGTGTCTATACATACATACTTGGATACTTTGATGGACCGTCCTCATTGGTTGTGCGGGCCGTAGCATAGTTTCCACTTTTTCGGAGTTTTGCTAGTTTAGCCACTGTGCTTCCGTGGAGTCTCGAGGTCAACCAGGCCAAAGTCTGCCCCAGGTCGTCGCGACCACAGACAGCCTCCGCTCTTATGGATTAAAGGGAGATTTGCCACCATGCGACTAATTTGATACCAGGACGGTGGTGCATCCTGGTATTGGCTTATTTTTAGCTGGGCGTCTTGATGGAAACGCTGGATTCCTTCCCAGCTTGGGAAACTGCCTGGGGGATCAATCCCCGCCGTATATCGCAGACCGGCACCCAGGTACACCTCCCAGTCACGATGAGGCAGTAAACCGTTGGATCTTATGTATGTGCATATATATTCATATATATATATATATATATATATATATATATATATATATATATACGAATGCATATATATCCCATTGTTTATCACACGGCTTTTCTGGGTGTCGAATTGCAATGTACGTTGTACATTGTGTGTACATCCTCGAAAGGTTACAGAAACAATATCGATGTTGAAAAATCGACGTCTTGGAACAAAACTAGCCGCATTAAAAAAAAAAGACATTCTGATTCGGCTGTAATTGTGTTCTAGGAAGCTTTGACGCATATTTCTCGGACTGTAAAGAAAAACAATATGAAAGCAACATATTAGTTAGGTGTTGAATAGGCTAAGGACTGAATTATTCTTTGTAGAGATAGTTCCACTCATTAAAGTATAGCTTAAAATCATGTGTTCTTGGACTTATGTTCTTTAACAGTAACTTCTGTTTCTCACACCATTTTGTTGCTATCAATAAAGAGCGTGCTCCTCCCAGAGAAGGCTCCCGCCACATAGATTTGTTATGGAGATCTCCTCTTTATGTTGCCATCTGTTATGTCAGCATAACGCATATTCTGCTTCTTCATTTCGATTTTGTGTTTGCTTAGGTATGTCTTCCTGTTTCTCGCTCCCAATTTTTCTGAAAGTAATCTTTTCATATACGCAATTAAAAAACGTCCAAGCAGTCATGAAGTTTATGGTGCTCCTGCAGATAGACTAACTCTCAGGTCTTGAAAATACCTCGTCGAGTGTTAACGTGGTGTTTTCACACATGCTCATAATTTTTTCTTCGATTGTGAAAATGAAGAATAGTTGACACGTGTACTTTGCTTCGATAGACACTGTAAGAATATTTTAGTGAAAGCACCAAAGTTTTTCCAGAGTAGACTGTTGCCTCACATAGGCTAACATCGCTGGTCTTGTCCATTTGCCTTCATTGCTACTGTCGTTGCTCCACTTTAACAATAGTTTTGCTTTCGTGGCATTTTCTTGCTGTTTGCATTGCCTGTTGTTATGCTAGCGGAGCAAAAGGGCATTTCCTACCCTCGCGACCGCACCATTGGGTATATACTTCATATATGTATGTATATATTTGGTTACTTGGATACTTGCATGGCCCGTCCTCACTGGTTATGCGGAACCCAGAATAATTTCCATACTCCAGAGATTTGCTGGTTTAACTATTATAGTTCCTTGGAGTCCCGAGGACAGCCTGGCCAAAGTCTGCCCCAGATCGGTGACACCACAGGCAGTCGCAGCCCTTGCGGATCAGAGGGAGATTTGCCACCATGTGACTGGTTTGATACTAGGACGGTGGTGGATCCTGGTATTGGTTTACTCTTAGCTGGGCTTCTTGATGGAAACGCTTGTCTCCTTCCCAGCTTAAGAGACCCTGCCGATGATAATTCCCCCCGCTGTACATCACAGACCGACACTCAGGAATACCTCCTAGCCACGATAAGGCGGTTGGGAGGAATAAAAAGTTAACGTAGACATTATTTGTTTACCATTTATTTGTTTTCTACTTTAAACTTTCCGACACCACGTATCGTATGGATTCCAGTACTTTTTGTATTTAGTTCGAATATCCATATCTAGTGAGCCTAGTTTGGGTTGCTGCTTGAGGATTTATGGTCTTCTTTATTGATCGTTGAATGCTGGTCACGTCGATTGTCCCTGAAATTCTTGGATAGCCATACTAGGACGTTTCTATACTTCACAGGCAGCCGGAATAGGAGTACTTAGGTGTTTCTGTACCTCACAGGCACTTCCCCAATGCTGCTGTATTTGTACTTCTTGTGGACTGAAGGCAGTGAATGGATCGTGGGCAGATCTGCTACCAATTTCCCACCTTAGTGTGATGAGGGCACAGTTGATCCGGGGTTAACTTGAACCAAAACCTTAAGCAAATTGAAGGGCTTCATTACTAATGCGCTCTATGTACCAAACCTTATGTGTATTTTTACATACACATGTAAAAATATTTCATCAGATGTTCACTTTTCTCGTTTCAGGCAGTGCGGAACCGCGAGAAGAGGAAGAGTCTAATTAATGGTATTCAGACTCTCATGAACGGAAATGACAAACATGTTCGCCGTTTAGAAGAATATAAGAAGAAACTTCTCGGCGAAATTGTGGAATAAACAGTTTTTACAGAGTTCGATCACCTTCTTGATTCTCTTAAGCATGAATTATTCCTAATCCAAGTTCTTTTGAAAACCATATACACAAGCAAAAAAGCAACCGGCCGACCACTACCTCAGCATTAAGGAAAGGTTGACATATCCACATTAACACATCGGTTCCCGCTTGATTCATTTATAACCAGCTTTCTTACATCTCTTTATTTTTTGCACAGTGTTCTTTGTACAATTATTATATTTAGTCTATATCCTATGAAAGACTTAATAGCAGACAAAAGACTAGAGAAGCTATTCTATGCATTTTTTAGTTCAGATGGGAAAGTGTTTTTGCGTGACTTTGTTCTTCGAGCTACAGACTTGCTGACTTAGGGAATACAGAGCAAGAGCATGCCAGACGTATCAACATGTTTGAGTGTCCAAAGGCGTTTCGCTTGAGTACCGCGGAGATTAATAACTTTCTATACTGGCACGATAGTTGACAGTGATCAGGATATTTAATACATTTCCGACGAAGCTGGTTTTTGGGCGTCTAGTGATATTTATCCATTACTAGAAAAGCTAAGTACTTCTGAACTTCAGAGGAGAAAGAAGAGACATTGCTCCATCGCTTTAAAGACATATATGCATACATACATACATGTCTGTAATATATATGTATATATATATATATATATGTGCATATATATTATCAGTAGAAAAGTAATTTCAGTGGGCTTACAGCACAGTGGTACATCTCTCCGGAGTTGAGGAATTGGCACCGGGGATATCTGGGAAATCCTCACTCTATGAAATCTAGTTGGCAATGCTCCAGCCCGGCTATCTCAGGATTCCAGAGAGGATTGCTCGACCAGCATTCTACGACATTCAAGATGAACGGAGAATCCACAAGCAGCAACCGAAGCCACACGTAGAAGTTGGAGAATCTTCGTGGATGATAGACGCGAGGAGATCGAATGTGAGAAGTGCTGGGAACCGCAGAAAAGATTTGAAAGACGGGTCGTATAAAAATAAGAAAAGGTAAATTCTCACTCAGCTCCCAATTCTTATCTACAAAAAACACTGTTCCCATAGAACTTGTAATTCCTACGAACATGAAATTCTTTAACGGTGAGGTTGAAGAAAAGGTCTGTAATTTAAAGCTAAAGTTGGACACTAAGGGTACCTTTTCGAAATAATATGGTGATAAAGCATTGTACGGGTTTCTTCAAAGTGGTTCGGTACTCACGGAATGTGCATTCCTCCATGTGCTTCCACAAGTTCTGTCCTTCGAAACAGTTATCAAGTTCCATTATTACAACTGCTTACTAGTGGTTTAACCTTGTGCTCAAGAACTCTATTTTACAAAAAAAAAAAAAAAGGCGAATGAGAGTTTAATTGAGTGATAGTGAGTGATTTGATGTGATAAGACAGGCTTCAAGATATTCATTGTCGTGCTAATGAAATAGCGACTGCTGCAGGACACATTACCCGTACAATGTAGATCATTCTGGAGGAGTGGGTCGCACGACACCCGTCCTGTATAGAAGGACGCCGCTGAATAAAGCTATCTCTTCGGTCAGTGCTGCCTCCACTGGATTCGACTCGATGAGAGGGCAAACACCCTTATCTCAACAACAGCCAGTTGTGGACCATCGACTCCGATCAACGCGGCAATCAGGAAGGCGAAAGCGCCGAAACGATAGCCGAATAAAAATTTTACACCAGCTTCATTCTAGCTCAATCGTATGGAGAATTACAAATGAGAGGGTTGGCAATGGGACAGCAGATAGCACCAAGTCTTGTGTTGATGTCTAAAATGAAGATTCAAGTAATCGAACTCCGGTCATTGCGCTATTATAGATATGTAGATAATTATTTTGTGATCTGTTCCACACAAGAGGAAATGTACAAATGTTTTGAATTATTGAACGAGCAATCAGAGTGCAACCACAACAATGCTGAGATATTTGCAAAACTCCGGACCGTAGTTGTTTGCGGTGGGGATAGAACGCGCTATTGTCCGTTTCGGGGACTAACGCGTTCACTACCGCACGGTTCCGATCCTTCGTTTCGTCTTTGTCTCAACTGTGTTTTAACGTATAGGCATTATCAGCAATCACCCGTCAACGAGATTCTGGGGAGCACAAACGGCAGTGAACCCAGTAACTTGAAGCCGTAGTATAATTCACAATGTAGTTACAGTCAGAGTACATTAATTTTACTCTAAAAAACCGAAAGAAAATTGGCTTCCATTTCGCCACGCTCAAATTAACCTGTCCCAAAATAGCTAAGTCACCAAATGTAACGGAAAGCCAAGTAAGGGGAAAAAGGGCTCATTGTGTCTCCTCTCATCCTTCACACACAGAAAAGACCTGTTCGCTACGATGTTCTGGATGGCTGTTGTCTTGCATTTCTTTTCATAAAGAATGCCCGAGGACATCAATTTGTACCTGGATGACCCAACCACATCCTCTGCCCCCCCCCCCCCCCCCCCCCCCCATGCGTCACGTGGGCGGGAACGGGATCATCGTGTGGCAGTTGTCCGAGCGAACGATGCTACCCGTGATTTCCCGTCGAGTGACAGTTGGGAACTGGCTTATCGTGATTGATGTTTGTCTCATTTCGGTCATTTGTGGTGAGTGATTTCTGTCTAATTTATCTTTTTCATTAGATTTTCAGCTCTTCCGCAGAATTCGTTTAGGCATTCGCATTGTTTTTTGGCACTACATTTTCTCCTTTTTTTCTTTCGGTTTTGAGGGCGTTTAGTTTTGAGCCAAAAGAAGACCGTTTATAGTTATACTACATCTATTTCATTTTACATATTTCTCTCCATACATTTGACTTATGTCCCAGATGTAATGTGTTCGGTTTTTTGTTTGTATTTTGTGTTTTGTATTTTCCTCCCAACGGTTTACCGCCTCATAGTGGCTGGGAGGTGTTCCTCTGTGTCGGACTACATTGTACAGCGGGGTGATTCACGACCCCCGTCAGGGTCTCCCAAGCTGAGAAAGAGTCCGGCGTTTCCGTCTGGAAGCCAACTAAGAGTAACCAATATCAGGATCCACGCCGTCCTGGTATCAAACTAGTTGCACGGTGGCAAATTTCCCTCTGATCCACAAGGGCGGCGACTGCCTGTGGTGGTGATGACCTGGGGCAGATTTGGTCTGGCTGATCTCGGGACTCCAGGGAACCAAAGTCGATAAAGCAGCAAAACCCCGAGAAAATGGAAATTACGCTGGGACCCGCACAACCAGTGAAGATGGGTCATCGAAGAATCCAAGAAAGTAAGTTTTGTGTTTTATCTACTATTTATTAGTTATTTATCTATTGTTATTTATTACGTGTAGAAATTCTTGAGCTTGCGCGAAGATGATAATAAGGTTTATTCGGCTAACGTTTTGACGTCTTCGTCTTCATCGGAGATGGTGGTCCGAGTCGGTGGTTCACAATTGTTAGCATTATTACTACCATTGAAAATTATTTGCTATCTTGTTTATTATTCTATCATTTATTGTCTTGCATTGACTATGTATTTTGTGCCCACCATTTCAATTGCTTCCCATTCCATATCTGATGGTTTATCAACGGCATTTAACGACGTTTAAAAAGCATCCTTGAGATTCCAAGATATCAAGTCGAATTCAGAACTTGCATCACTTGTAGTTATGCAGACATAATGATTGATTAGATCCCTTTCGCTTTACTTTAACCATTTTCCACTTTTGGTGGTTCATGTTTTCTACTGTTGAAATACTGATTTAAAAGGTAACCTCGAAGTTGTCTACACTAGTAACTAAGGTCGGATTTTCTCAGCTTCTCTCAGAACTTACAAAAAGTCGTGGTTGGTTCTTAAAATCGACCTTTCTATAGGGTCAAGCCCGCATTCCAATGATTAAATTCGTCGGTGCGCGGCTGCCACGGCCAAATTTTTCCAGGTAAGTCTTTCAGTAATCGCTTTTGATCCATGATGCCACAATTTTTTCAGAGTCGCCTTCAGTCCTGTGGATGTTTCCTCTTCGTCAGGTTTCGAACTTCTTTTGGTTTTAATATATTGTCATTGTAACTATCCAAAATCCAAATTTCAACGTACGAGAGCGTAGATTAATGCGAGTTGGAAGAATACTAGACGCATGTTTTATCTTTTACTAAAGTGTATAGTGTTTACTCTAAGATCAGTAGAATTATAGGAACACTTTAAAGCAATAACTAACACAAAGCATTGATCTTTTTTCTTTTCTCAGTGCACAAACTATTAATATTTCCTATCATTCTTAGCCAAATCGACGAAGTCTGTCCTTTCAAGTGGACAAATCAGTCAGGAGCTTCACATCTCTGAAGAACAACTTCCGATGAAATTTCGACGGCCTCCTTTAAGCCAAGAAGAATGCGATGCCATCAATGTACGTTATTAGAAGATTGATTTTTTTGTAAACTGAAACCACTATTTTTAAAGTTGAGTTGATGTCACCGACAATGTCTGACAGTGTGGCGTAGCGCGCAGACTTGCGTATTTATTCGTATTCCTCCTAATATCTCCCTTTTATCGTGACCTCTGTATCTGCTAATCGTTTGGCTTTCCTAGTGTTCGGATTGTTCTTCATCATTTTCTATTCGGAAGTTGTTTAGGCTGGCGGTGTTTATGGTCTATGAGCTTGGCCCAGCGAAGGAAATCCTAACGTGCGGATCGAATTTGTAGTAGTTTTAATGTGGTAGGCTCTCTAGATAGGGACGTACTGTGTTTATATGTGTACGATTAATAAATTTTCTTCGCTCTGGATTATGGTTCACAAATATATGTGCATCAGCTCGCGGTAGTTTCTTAATGTCTGTTTGGTCTTTTGCTCATTAATTCTTTTTTGCTGTTTAAGGTGGCATATTTTCCTTTAAAGGTGATGATTCCAACGATCCCTCGTTAAGTTCTCCTCCAATGTCTCGTCGAGGTGTAGTGCATGGATCCGGTTCATCCAAAGAAGGGTACGATTATAAAGCATAATTTCGCTCTACTTTTACTTAACCAAACTCTTTAAAGTCGTTGAACGTGCTTGTTCCAGTGAGCTGTTATCGTTAGTGCAGAACCTGGTAAATGCGTGTATATCAAGACGTTTGGTGGAGCAGAAAAAGTTTGCAGAATGGTTAGTGTTACCAATGATTAACGTTTTGTTTTCTGCCTTCTATAATTTTCATGGCAGGTTGTGTTAGTGTTACCAATGTTTACTGTGATTTCAACTACAGCCATAGCTTAACTGGGTTCTATGCCGATTTGCGCTCCCCAGATCAACCCCGCTGACGGGTGATTGCTGTGGCAAAAAGATCGATAGAAATAGCTGAGAGACAGGCGAAACGAAGGACCCGCATGGTGTGGTGGTGAACGCGTTACTCCCCGGAAAAGATAATAGCGCGTTCGTTCCCCACTATAGACACCTGGGGTCCAGAGTTTTGCAAATATCTCAGCAACGTTGTGGTTAGTGTTACCTTTTTTTTCAGAAAAGAACATCATTATTCCTTTAAAGCGTGTAAAGTTTAAACTATTTGAAGATGCTTAAGAAATTTTGATCTTCAGAACTTTTATTGAACTTGTATTTTTAAACGTGGTAAGTCCAAGATATCTGGAAACCTTTTTCCTTCTGGTATGTCATCGAGACTGAAAAACTTCTATTCTAACGCTTTCAAGGCTATCTTGACTCATGTAATGCATATTACTATTTGAAATTAAAAAGAATAAGATCTACAGTTCATTGCCATGAAAGTACACATTTTCTTATTCTTCCTACCGAAGTGAGGTTATATTTTCTTAAGCCGAGAAAACGTTTTCCGTTCATTTTCCTTTTCGTCGCGCCTAATATATCGAATGACCGAACCAACACAAACTTCTCTACCGGAGGGCGATGTTATCCTCGAATGATTCGCTAACGTTTGCTGCTGCCGCACTTGTGTTAAAACCTTAAAATTTCTAAAGAATTGAGCTCTAGTTTTTGAAAACTCTACCAAAAATTTTGAGATTTAGTTAAAACTTTGCGGAAATCCTTTATAGCGTTAAAACTTAGAACTTTTCTCTAGGTTAATCAAGTTTTTATCTCCTCAACAGTTTTGTCATCGGAAAATTATCATCAGGGTTGGGAATATGTTAATCTAAGAATGGATGTAGTTAGGCCTCAGTTAGTAAACTTTAGGCCAATAAGGTACTATGTCTATCATTCAAATAAAGGAATAAAGCGTTTGGTGTTTACCGATCCCTCAGAGATTCGTCATGCATTCAGTCCCTCTAAGCATTGAAGGGGTGAATGAATACATCTTTGGCCTGTACAATGATTTGTATTGGTGTACTGATGCAGAATTAAGTATTTTTACCACTCCTCGAAGGTCTGCTATCAATTTTCCGACATCGGAAGGATGGAGGGCTAAGTTGGCACAGGGCGCGAAGTCGAACTAAGAAGGCAACACGCGCTGTTTTTCCTAAATGCTTGCAAAATAATCTCCGAAGCTTGTTCAATATCTATTCCTTGCTACGGAGCTGATTTTCCATAAACCGATAATTTATCGACCACAAAAGTAGATGTGGTGTTGAGATTATCAAAAACTTGCATAACAGACTTTTCTGTATCACCTATAAGGTATGCATAATTTTTGCGAAGTTTTTTTTTCCCAGCTTCAATTTTTTTGAACTGGAATTCTCAAAAAATCGAAAACAAAAGATGAGATTTCGAAATGTTGGAGAGTCTTGCTTGGCGCAAAACGGTTCGTTCGATTGCTTTGGTGCACGAAATAAAAGGCTGCATTCCATGCATTAGAGGGTGTGTGTGGTGCAGTGTGTGGCGCGGTGGTCGGAGGCGCCGTGCAGCACACACACATGAGATCGATTTCGGTGTACCTGGGTCACCTAGCCTTCCATCCCTCCGGGTTCAGTAAATTGGTACCAGAAATATCTGGTAGGATAGCAGCACTGGCTCGATATATCGGTAGGCCACCGCGAGTCATTGTAAAGGCGAGGTATGCATTCAATCACCTCCAACGATGATTAGTGAAGTCAAATGCATGGCATATCCCTAAGGGATTAATTAACGCCGAGAGCTTTATCCTTTATCCTTAATCCAATGGATTTAAATCATTGCTTCTTATTGCGAATGTGTTTAGCTAGTTGTTATCTACTTTCTCTTATTTTATAGTCTCAAACGATCGTTGACTGGAGTTGCAGACCCATCTGAGACGTTTCTATACTACTTCTTGAAGAAACGCTCTTCTGATGAAGATGCACTCAAAAATCTTTTACGAGCTGTCGAGGTAGTTTAGAACTACCAATGTTGCAAATTATTCTAGGTGAGCAATAAGAATTTAAGATGTGTGTCGACGATTTATGTCTATTACTGCTGTGCGGGTTCATTCACGATCTTGTCAGTGTGGGTAGTATCAAAGGTTTGTATTTTATCACTTCGTTCCACTTCATACTATGTTATCTTTTTTGGTTTCATGTGTTCAGGGTAACTTCTCACAACACGTATTCATTTAGCTCGTTTGGCGAGACACAGGAAGCTGATCAAAGCCGATGCTACTTCCGCCCTCATTCGTACGCTTCGATGTCGATTGAAGGAGGCCATCTGCCGTAAAAAAAGTCGGACAACAAAGTGTGAAGAAGAAGATACAACTTTGGCTGAGCAATGCGACGATGCTGTAGCAGCTCTTGTTCTTGCCGTTGGAGCCAAAGGTACATATTTGAGATTTTAGGTTTCAATAGCAATTTAAACCAAGCTAAAGTTGCTAGATGCTAATTTAAAATTGAGTTAATTTAAGCTACTACAAATGCTCGCTCTTAAACCAGTAGTATAAGGATGAAGCATACAAATCTAAGAAAACAGTGTGTTTACTACCGTATTTGTCCAATAGCACGTGTGAGCTCATAGTGCCACTGTCTACATGATTCTGAAAAGAAGCTTACCAGATCAGGACCAGGAAAATAATTGCATAAGGCGACATCGAGACATCTAGATGAAGTGTATCTAAACCAAAGGAGTGAAAGATAATGTTGCTTTTTTTAAAATTCGGAACGTTTTCATGGAACAGTTTGAACTGCTCTTTACTCTTTCCTTTTTGTTTACCACTTTACCTCGTCTTCTGTCCTAATGTTCATCTTTTCCATTTTCGCTTTTAAAAATCACTTCTATAGCACTTTTTCCATCGATTTTTCATACTGTCGACTGTCGTTGAAAATTCGTGTTGGTGAAGTGCTGCAATTGTTGTGCTCCCTTATGGCTAGTGATCATGTGCATACTCTAAGTATGACGATGGCTCAACTGCTGTGTCGATCTGTACGATCACGTGAGTCAACATTCTTTAATATATTCCAGGAAACTTCCAACTTTTTGTTCGTCTTTCTTTATTTTTGTCTTATGCGTTGCAAACATCAACCGTCGGTGTAGTTCAGAGTATTCATTTCTCTTTCTTATTTGCATTATACGGGATAACTACGACATTACGATTTTTTCGATAACACTAATCGCCCTCCGCCTATGTGAAGTCCATATTAACGAGCTCTACCGTAGGGCAGGCTGAATGGTGGAGTTGAAAAGTGGGGCTAATTAGTCTTTTTTCTCTACTTTGAGTTGTTTCGAAAGTTGAACAAGCCGCTGGCTTCTCCATATTGAGCTATGGAGCTAAGTAATTTTATCTTGTTGACTTACTGACCCAGGGATACATATCTGGTGCACTCGAAGACATTCATTCTGGTGACTGCGACATTCGAGGACATCTGGTGCATTCGAAGACATTCTTTTGGCCATGTGTGGAGAATGAGAAGCAAATGTGTTCCTTATTGAAAAATTCTTGGCATTCAGCTGAATAGGAACCTTTTCATTCATAATGTAATGTATACAGAGTATATTGATGGTCAGAAATTTCTTTATGTAGGCTTGACGTCAGCGGCAGCCGAATTGAACATCGTTTTCAATTGATTACTCATTGAAAGTGAACAAGAAGACGATCAGTGGAGTGGGAAAGCTTTTTCGGTCTCTGTCGAAGCGTGTTCAGAATGTCATTGAACCCTCGTTATTCCAGTGTTGCCATAGAAAATCGGAGAATGATGGATATTTCCATACGTTCTGCAGTTTCCGGTTTTACAAGTGGTCCATCTTTTGGCTGTATGTATTATGAAACCGATTACTGAAGGTTAGTAGAAACGTAATGGATCGTGATTGAGACGAGAAAAGCTTTAAGAAACTCGTCCTATCATCTCCTGAAAGGAGTATTGTCCAAATTTGGAAAAGAATAGAAGGCAAATGAATTTTAAAGGATTAAAGACAAAGTATTCGAAGCGATAAGTCCTTGATGAAATGGCCGTTATTTTGTTTCGATTTAACCGTAGAGTTGATTCGATACATAGTGTGGATGACTACTTGAGGTGTCGTACCGATCTATCACAAACTTGTACTATTCTGGTAATGTTGGAAGGTAATAGAATTGTGTTGCGCGAAACACGGGATCGAAGCAGCGACCATCTTTTGGCTGTTCATTTACTGAAGCCGATCCGTTTGGTTTCGAATTTGGTAATGACTATTCGAACTTGATCAGCAGCCTTTCTATCTTGATTGTTTGTTCGTGATTATGCTTTATTATGATTTCCTTCCTACCCTCTGCTTTTGCAATAGTCACACTATTTGAGAATTATAATTGTACCCGGGGGAATCGAAAGTGATCGTTTTTATTGTTTTTCATTCTTTTACTATTTACAAAATATTCTTTTTTAAGCAAGGAATGCTCAGTTGGCTTTGCGTCATCGCGGATTCGCTAAGCAACTTTTAATGCGGATATCTTCTCTGGAAGCGAAGGATCCTATTGAAAGTGCTTTTTTAGCCCGATGTCTCGAAATGCTCTATTTCGTCGCGAAAACTAGTTAGTCCTCAAGAATCAATGCATTTTCAAATTTATCATCAACTTGGTTTTTCTGTAATACTGGTGTGAACTGCATTAAGAGGCGCTTTTTTCGGGGGCGGTTGAAACGGGCGGTAGAACGCTTTACTTCTTTTCTGTTATATTTTCTATCCTTATATCGTATTATTTTGTTATACTGTTTGTGTTGCTGTTATATCTCACTCCTATTATGCCTGCTATATTATTTATTGTAATATTTGCTTTGGCAACATTCCTTTACCGAGAAAATAGGTTTTCGCATACATTGATGCAGTGTAAGTTCCTCTTACTCATACTAGCGATCTTTGTTCAAATGTTTTCAAACCAAGAGAAGCGTACATCAAGCGCTCTTTATTTAATAAAGCTGTACTGCGTTATTCTTTCAACGGTTTACCGCTTCATCGTAGCTGGGAGGTGTTCCTGGATGTCGGGCTACGATGAACGGGCGAGGGAGGATTCATCTTCTTGCAGGGTCTCCCAAGCTAAGAAGTCCTTCGTTTCCATCGGGAAGCCCAGCTAGGAGTAAACGGATACCAGGATCCACCATCATCCTGGTGTCAAACTACTGGCATGGTGGCGAATCTCTCTCTGATCCACAAGGGCGGCGACTGCCTGTGGTGGTGACGACCTGGGATAAACCTTGGCCAGGCTGACCTCAGGAGTCCAGGGAAACATAATGGCTAAACTAGCAAAGCTCCTGAAAGTGGAAGTCATGCTTGTGCACGCACAACCAGTGGCAATGGGATCAGTGGCATCCAAGTACCCAAGTAAGGTTGTGTTCTCATGAACTTCGGTCATCGAAAATTTGGCGATATTTTTCGAACGACTGCTTCTATTCATTAGATTAAATATGAAAAAAATATTCGTTTGGGGGTATTTTTGATCGTTCTAATCGTAATCACCTGTGGCTCTGGCCATGTTTGTCATAATCACACTGTTATGTGTGGTGCCTTAACGTGAGCGGGTTTTTCTGTCTCAGTCATGAATCAGCCCTACATCAGGAAACACGAAAAGCACCACACTTTTGGTGGTTCGATCTTTGTAGTGTTTTCGTCGAGAAAATGACTACATTAAGTTCGTCCAGTTTTGTCGTCGCACAAGCTTACTCTTCATCGGCTTACTATTAGAAATGTGCAATTCCTTCTGTGTTTAGGAGATCATGTTGAGGGCAAAAAAGCTCAGCGCTCGCTTTTTTTGTAATTCGCCGTTTACTATATTTCTTCGGAATCAAATTTCGTATACCGTCAGACATATATGTGAATAAAATTATCTGCCAAGGTCCATTAGTTGCTTTATTTATTGCATCACTGAAGAGTATCTTTGTGTAAATTGTTACATTTCGTGTACATTATCATAATTTTTACTTCAAGTTTTTAGGGAAAGCCCGTGTTCTCCTTGTCGGCGAAAATGTGGTGTGCCGTATGCTTCCCCTGCTTGAACGCCATGCCTGTTTGACGAAGGAAGAGAGCTGTCAACATTCTTCTACCACATCAACTGATGTGCATACTGAAATTTGTCTGATTTCTCTCGCCGTACTCAGACTGCTTTCTATTAACAGTTAGATCTTACCCTCATCGGCAGTTCACCTAGAAGCTTCATTTGCACACTGTTGATCTTCTAGAACGAGCCAAGGAGCAGTTATTATCTTGTGACGTTATGAGTGTTTGCCAAGGTGTCATGGCTGAAATAGAAAGAAATCTTTATGGGTCAGCTTCTGCTTCTCGACTTCAGGTATTTATTCTGTTCTTGTTTTTCCTATTTAATCGGGAATAATTGTAAAGATTTCTGGGGAATTCTTGCGCAATTTTGTTTTGGTTTATTCATGCTTGATGTTGATTTTCTATGCTAGATACTCCGCATATTCCGTATCCTTTTTTTTGACCTTTGTATTACGATTATTGCTGAAAATGTGATAATCTTTAAATGCCTGATCAGGTGTTCGTGCGTTTATGATAATGGATTTGCTGACTTGTGGATATAGCGGCCTAATGTACATAACTGCTTAGAAAATCATATAGAACAACTCTTCTTTCTTAAAAATTCGTTCTTCCTACCGTGATTTCTGATATGGAAATTATTTCGGGGAGAAATGAAAAAGCTTAGTTCAGGGATCGCTTTGCTCGTTGTGTTTATGCTGTCTTCCTAAGATTCGCTTCCCGGTCACGAGGACCTCTTTTCCCTTCAAGTTTTGTCTTCTGAAGAGAGCTAGTCCTGGAAGGAGGTTTATTTTTTTTTTTACTTTTCAGAGTATGACGTACTTTTTCATTTTTGTGATCTACCTTTTTGTTGCATGCAACCCGCCTTTCATATCTATTGTGTGGATCCCAACACTTCTTGCATTTGATTCGTTTCCTCGCATCCATCACCCACGAAAGTCTTCCAACTTTTTACGTGTTGCTTTGGCTGATACTTGGGGATTTTCCCTTTCGCCACGAATGTCGTTGCATGCTCTTAGAGTCGATTCTCCCTGGAGTCCCGAGATAGCCGAGCTACAGCGTTCCCATTTTGATTGCTGAAAGTGAAGTTTTCCCAAGGAAGTCTGGTACCAACTTCCCAACAGCGGAGAGATGAGAGGCTTAGTGACCCCGAGGTTAGCTCGAGATATGACATTTATAAGAATAACAAGTAATGGAATGCAAATAAAACCTACCGCATACGATGTAGAGCAGTAATAATAGTTTAACACCTATCGACGGCTGCTAATAGTGTTTGTGGTTTTTAGAATGATTTATAGTGCGGGATTCAGCTTTTCGGCGCGATTTCCAAAGCTCCGGTGATATTCAATATTTCTCCACCTTCCTTGTATTTAGTAATCTGGTGGCATGGCAGCAAACCTCTACAGTCCATGAGCGCAAACACTTCAGAAGGCAAACTAATATCGCGCCTGAAACAAACTCTTAATGGCAGTCGAATTTCGGATAGCAAAAGATGTCGTAGGGTCGGAATCAAAATAATGAATTCACGAAACCCCATGTAAACTGCTTTTTTTCTGAAATTATAATATCAGATCTGTTTCCTATAGCAGGACGATCTTTAAACTCAGGTTATATAATAGTTCACGTTCACTTCATAGAGGAGACAAAAGCATAAAGATATGCGACCGTATACTACCATATGAATTAAATGATGTTATCCACAGGCAAAGATTCTTATCGTAAATGTCGCTTATCAGGCCTGTTCTATATGTTTACATTGTCCATTCTTTCAGTTGTACTGGTAAGAGCGAACTAGATGAGTCTAATAACCAGCCGAAAGAAATAGCCTACAGCCTAAAATCTTTCAATAGATATGTTGTCGGTCAGTACGTTTTATACTAGGAAGACTTATTGGAAATGAATATAGGGTCGGAAAACTTGGAATTGATGACCGAAGTGAAGATGAAGAGCGGCTTATTCTATTTCTATTCTTGTCTAAAACTCATGTCTTTGTTAGAAACCCATTTTCCAAAAAAGTGAAACCTCCTATGAGCATGGGATGCCTAGTTGCACTTTGGTGACATCATGACAGACTGAAGACGATGGCCGCTTAAAATGTCCGCGATGATATTGTTCTTTAATGAACCTGATCGCTGCAGTCTCCGAGTGAAAAGTACATTGAAACTGAGGCCGAAAAGTAACTTCCATTATTTCCGAAGAAGAAAAAGACAGCTAAACGAGAATACTGTAAACAGAAGCTTCCTCTCATGACTAGCAAATTTTGGGAAGGGTGACTGTTTACTTTGATGTACTTGTCGAAAGACTCAAATTCTGTGCAGAATACACTTCAGCTCACCATTCAAGAAGTTCGTATCATTTCTCCATAACCGCCAGGAATTTGCTTCAGAAGGATTCTGAGGTTATATCCGATTTAAATGCAAGGTATCACCTTATTTGTATCACCTACCGCCCTCTCGATTATCACATGACTCGAGCAGGCACCAGTAAATCTTCTCTTTCTCTCTGTCCCGTGTAAGAGTAGCCCACTGGGTTCTACTAGCTCCAGGGACTCGTTGAGCATCATACCTTTCTTCTAGGGTATAGGTGAAGTACTCTCGCAATTGAGTGGGTGGTTCTCCTGCAGTACGTTTGACATCCTGGCGAATCTAGCCATTACGGCTTTTGTCCATTCGTTGTCGTTCATACGCATTGTGACCGGGACCACCTTATATTCAACAGTTGGGCGCATAGAACGACGCTTACGTAAATCGGAGCTTCGGATCCCTTGGCTCACTTGTATGACACGGTATACTTCTAGCATCGTCTTTTCGACTGTGTATTCAGTAACGCTAAGTGATGTTTAATCTTGCTAACTCACTACCGCTCTGACTTCCCGACGTAGTTAGATGTACCTGAAGCATTCGGAGACATTCATTCCGTTGAGGGTTAATAGGGCATACATCACCAATTCGTAGCTCATGAACATCGTTTTTGTGAGATTTAGTCGAAGACCAATTTTTCCACAGGCTTTATCAATGTCGACAAGCATTCGTTACGCTTGGATAATGTTTGGTGTTATACGAACATTATCACCAACAAAGCGAAGGTTATCTAATTTCTGACCGTCGATTTTCACTCCCACATTGTCCCATTCCAGTGTTCGCATAACGTTCTCAACGCTGGCAGTAAATAATTTTGGCGAGATGATATCGACCCCCTCTTTTAACGTCAATGTTAATATCGTTGTAGAATGGTGATATTTTGGTTGTGAAATTTTGTACAGCTCACGAAGAATCTTTAAGTACTGAGTAAGGACTCCTTGACTATCAAGGCTTTCATGACTGCTTCTATCTCAATTGTGCTCACATGACTGTCCTCCGTCCAGTTTTCTATCAATCGTGTTCGTGATGACTTGAGTGAAAAGTTTGTCGAGGACAGACAGTAAGCAGACTGGGCGATAGATGTCGATATAGTGGAGGTCATCCTTCTTGAACATTAGCACGGTCTTGCTGGTCTTCCATTGAATAGGGACCTTGCATTCAGACAAGTAACGTGTGAAGAGCCGAGCCAGTGTGTTGACGAGGACTAGTGGAAGGTTCTTAAGAAGTCCACGTCTAATCCTATCCGGACTTGGTGTTGTTCGATTTTTACCGACAAAATAGCATGTGGGATTTCGGAGGAGAGGACCGATGGTACAACACATCTATCCTCCTTTGTTTGATATGAAGAGCGGAGTACGTGGCTATTGAAGAGATCTGACTAGTAGTCGTGAATGATTTTTCGCATTGCCTTTCTGGAAACTGTATCTATTCTATCTGGCATCGGAGTGCAACCATCTTGATTTTGCAGTTGTTGAAGCCTCGTTGTGCTTTGCAAATCCTTTTCACACCCTCTTATTAAGATTCGACAACAACTGCTGCTATTCTCTTTTTAAGATCTTTTATCGCTTGTCTGCATTGCTTTGTACGTTCGCACGTGAGTTGGCGGTTGCGTTTAGCTCGTGCGGTTCTACCTGGCGTATCTGCTCAAGAGTTTCTGGGAACAGACTTCTCCTAATAACTTTCGAACTCTCAGCTTCCATAATGCTAACGTGAAGTTGTTGAGTGAGGTGATAGTATTCCTCATCGATGTTGTCAACAACGGCATCTTCAAAACGGCCGGCTAATGTGCTGGGTAAGTCCCACTTTATGGTGGTTTTGGGACTTCGTTTTTTGAATTTAGTGGTTTTTTCTCCTTACCGCGAGAAATCAATTCTTGCGTGAAGTAGGAGATGGTCCTAACCGGGTAGAATTTTGTGACAACCGTGACATGGGTTAAGCAAAATCTTCGATCTACTATAAAGTGGTCTGTTTATTTATCGTACTCTCCTTTAGGTGACTCCCACGTTTACCATTGAGAATGGGGTTTCCGAAATTGCGAGTACCATGAATGGTCTTGGTTGCCATAATAAACTCAGACAGCCGATCACCCTGTTCGTTCTTTCATGGCGTTATTTGGACGTTCTTATGAGTCAGATCTTACGTTAAAATCTCCAATAATGATGCTAATTTATCTGTGGTCTTCGCTGTAGGGCTTCTCCAAGTCCGTACATGGCTCGATATCGGTGCGTTAACAACGAAGATTGTTAAAGCTAGTATTGATCCACATCGTAAACGTCCGATTCGTTGTTAGTTGTTCGAATAATCGATGCTCATGGACAAACTCGTTCTTACGAGAACGCCGATGATACCGTGCCATATCCTTGCTGGTATGATTAATTCCTCTGTCGAGGACTCAGATGCAAGTGTACGTGCGTTGTAGATGCAGAGCACTTAATCTTTTGCGATTTCGGTAGTCTAGAATGGCCTTGAGATTTTACTGGCTTCTCCGTACTCGTCCTATCTAATGCTGCCGTATCAGTACCTCTTTCGGTGTCAGGAGAATGAGGCACGTCTGTTTTGCTGTTTAACTTTTTGATGCTCACATATAGCTTGTTCAGCTCTGAACGTGGGGACTGAGTATACTCGCAGGTTGCTTGTCAGTCTCTTCCGGAGTAGACGGGGAGGTTGTTTGTTGAAGGCGACTCCTTGCCGCCTCCCATGCACTTCCTATTCACTTCAATGGAGGTTCTTCACTGAATTGACTTGTGGAATACAATTCGCATTAAC